TAATCACTAGTCCAAGTCTGAGTTCGGAGCATGTTGTGGCTGTGATGGCTGTCCCCTCCCAAACCACTCAGCTCAGAAAGAAGACCGTGCCCTCGCTTGAGGCCGGCCGCCTCAGCATCTTGTTCGGCCAGCTCAGCCAGTCGCTGTACTTCGGGCAAGGAGAGATATCCCCAAGCCCATCTGCGAAGCAAGTAGTTGGCCAATTTCGAAGGCTGTGTCGCATCAGCCTCTTGCATCCGTTGCCGAACCCCTCGTCTGTTCGCAGCAAGTAAGGACATGATCCCTGTCTCACTCTACTGCAGACTGCAGCAGCTTCTTGGGCTCTTCCAAAACTGCAGAAGTAGGACTGCATATGCTGCTCTGCCGATCCATGCGTGCGACGAGAGGTCTCATTTTCCCGTGCTGTAGCGAGAGCGATGCGACATCACAGAAATATCCAGATTCGAACTGGATACGACTGCATTGCAGTCCGGAACACAAAAAGTGCACTGCACAGAAGACCCCTGCGTAATGCTTCCCCGTCGCGATGCAGGGCATCAGCCTAAAGCGTGTTCTGGATGTCCCGAGCCTCGGAGTACTTCAACTTGTGCTCCCTGAGGTAGGCCAGAGCTTCCTCGGCAAATGCGACGTAGCCTGGCCCGTACTGCTTTGGCCTGTACTCAACGATCAAAGTCTTCTGGTGCTTGCCACTTCGCTCGGGATCGGCACAGCGACAGGCAGTGATGTAGGCTCGGGGATTGCTCTTCACAGCCTTCGTAATGGACACACAATGAATGATGTTGTCGTTCTCGGGCAGCTGATCCCGAGCCCGCTTGCCCTTGGATGCAACCTTTGCCGCAGCTCCATCGGACTGCGAACCCTTCTCTGAGTCCGAGATCTCGACGACAGCCGGCTTCGTATTGCCTTTGGCCTTGGCTTTGGCCTTAGCCTTGGCCTTAGCCTTGGCCTTAGCTTTGGCCTTAGCTTTGGCCTGGGCTTTCGCCTGGCCTTTCGCCTCAGCCGGTTCACTCGAGCCATTGGCCTCAAGCTCGCCGTGTTCATCCTGCACTGCCTGCGACACGGCAAGCCGTTTGTCCTCCGCCTTGCCATTCTTCCACTTCTTGACCGCCTGCGGGTGCGGCGAAAAATAAATCCCGAGCCTATAAAGAACAGAGACATGAAGGACCTCAAGAAGAACAGAGACATAAAGGACCTGAAGCCTGGCAAAAACCAAGCCTGTCTTATAAATAGAGAACACACCAGGAGCCCGTGTACAGTCTCCTCTGTATCAACAAAAACTCGAAAACCATTGCGTGCCGCTGCAGGGCCTGGTTTATCAACCCGACCTGCCCCCCCCCCCTCACCATCAAAAAAAAGGCAATGCATGGAACATGGAGGACCTGAAGCGGGGAAAAACAAATTATGAACCCGACCTGCCCCCCCCCCCTCGCCTGGAAAGCAGCGGTTTTCAATTTCTGGCTCGG